GAAGGAATTTGTAAAATTTCAAAGCTACGTATTTGAAAACATGGTAGAATATCTGAAATTATCTCTATAAGCCTGATCACCTTAATAAGTCCCAAAAATGCTCAGAGAAAGCAAAAGCTAAGAAAACCATACGTTGGTACACAAGTAGTTGTGGTTTTAAAACTGCAATTACTTGTGCACCAACTTGTATCTTCAATGGCAAAAGCCACTATTACTTTTGCACCAATCTGTATTTTCCCTTAGAAAAGGAGGATTCAGAAAGAATCGACTGACTATTTATAAGTTCAAACAGTCTCTCTCTTCTGAGCACCTGATCAGAAGGGAGGGAGTCCAAATAAAGGAAAGCAAAGGAGAGAAGGAAAGGAAGGAAAGAAAGAAATGGCGGAAGGGGAAAGGGAAGGAAAAGAATGGAAATGAGGGAAGCAAGTTCAAACAGAATGAGGAAAATAATAAATGGGTAAGAACTATAAAATCTTCAAAATAAAAAATGTGATGGAAATCTTCAAAATAAAAAATGTGATGGAAATCTACTTAGCTTTCTAAACTATAATAGCCACTCCAGTCTCCATTAAAATACTGATGAACCCTACCCTCAGCCCAGCTAAGCAAACATGGCAACTGAGCTGCTTTATATTTATAGGGGGTTAGTAGACGTACAACAGCCACTTGCTATAGAACAGACCCAGTCAGCAGTACAGAAGTTCACAGCTTCAGCAAAGTTGTAGCCCTGGTTAAATCCAGAGTGATAGGCACGAGGAAAGGTCACAACAAACTCGCCAGCACACTGATTGGTCCTGTACACCTAAATGCAAATTGGGAACAGGGATACAAAAATAAAAAATAAAAACAACAAAAAGAGGAAGACAGATTTTATTAGTCAGATAATTTCAGATGCATTTTCTAAAACTGAAAACAATAAAGCATTAAGCTAAACATATCAGAAAATGATATCAGAAATAGCCAGAATTCTACCTTCTTAAAATAGTCACTGATAATAGATTATAATTCATGACAAGAACTAGCAGCCAAAAGAAATTCTCAAAAAAAAAAAAATTACTCTCAATGAGCTACGAGTTTCTTAAACTGATACAATTTTTACAATTAAAAGAATTTGTTTTATTCTTGTATCATAAATAGTGGCAAAGAATAGAATTTCCTGCTACTTTTGGATAGTTTTTTGGAACTAACTAAACTCACATAGCACATGAGACATCCCCAATCAGATGTCCCCAAAATCAGTTTTCTTGAAATCTCACTTTGTTTTACAATAATACTGTATGTCTCCTGAAAAGTCTCAGATTCTGGTATAAATTTATTACTTAAAAACAAAGTAACTTTATAAATGTTACTCAATCTACTTTCTCTTTAAGGTTATGATCAATATTTGATTATCTATAGTAAACCTGTTAAATTTATACTTTATCAGGCATTAGCTTGAATTTGAGAAACATCTTCAAACTTAGGTTCAAAAGTGAAAAAGGCATTTGCAGTATATTTTTATTTCATTATCTCATGTATTAAAAGCTAAGAAATCTGAGAAAATAAGGATAAGCATACTTATTAGTTATTAGTTATTAGGATAAGCATGCTTATTAGTTATTAGAGCCACCACTTAAAATACCTCTGCTTTGGTTAAACAGGGATAACAAAGAATATGAGATTTTTGTTCATAGTAGGATGTAATATTTACTGAAAAAAGAAGGTTATGTGAATAGGTAGCTATACATAAAGTATGATTCATACTTTAATACTCCCCTTCTTAATAAGATAAAAGTTGTTTCCTGCAGAGTATAAATTCTAATTTGGCTAAAAGATGTTATCCTAGTTATAAAACAAAGCACATGTCATTATTCTATCTAATCAAAAGCTAAAATAACTTTAAATTAAAACTACTGGCTGGGTGCAGTGGCTCGCACCTGTAATCCCAACACTTTGGGGGGTCGAGGTGGGAGGGCTGCTTGAGCTCAGGAGTTCGAGAACAGCGTGGGCAACACAACAAGGTTTCGTCTCTAAAAACATACAACAAATTAGCCGGCGGTGGTGGTGCGCTCTTACAGTCCCAGCCACTCACCAGGCTGAGGCAGGAGAACTGCTTGAGCTGAGCAGGTCGAGGCTGCAATGAGCAATCATTGTGCCACTGCACTCCAGCCTGGGCCACAGAGCAAGACTCTGTTTCAAAAATGAAAAAAACAAACAAACAAGAAACTGAAGGAAGACAGCAAAAGACTCACAGGCACACCATGCTCCATCAGCACATTGGGGTTCATGATGGTGACTAACTGATGCAGAAGATCAGGCTGGGATTCAAATAACTCAGGGGCCAGCTCTCTCATCACCTCCTCCAGTTGTTCTGCAGCATGAGATGGCACACCATACCATGTCTTTGGCTCCCCCCTAGCAAAAGAAATAACTGTTTAGGCAGAACATGGTACCAGTGAGGCTGGGGCATCTGATTCCAGTCCACCAAATTATAATTAACTTGTCTTATTCCATGGTCAGATTATATGCCCTGAATTCTAGCAACCATCTCATAAACCTGTGTTGTTGTTCACAACAGGAGGTAAGTAAATAGTAGTATATATAGGCAGATACAAACTTATCACTACAATTAGAAAAGCAACTCAGGACATGAACTCTGGAAGGCAGATGAGTGAAAACACCTTCAAACAGGAAAGACGCTATATGAAAAGTAAGCACTGTCCCAAAGGATGCTGATACATGACCTTGATTCACAGGTCCATGTGAATAACGGACATTCCAACTATCCCCACAATGATCAGAACAATCAGTGCTCTCCAGAATGCCTCTAAACAGCTTCACTGAGTTCAGTTTTACTACCCAAAGAAACAGGCCAAGGCTAGAAATTATGGAAACCTTAAACAGACTCTGTCTGTAAACCTTAAAGATCAAAAACTTGGCATCATTAATCCACTAGACTTCAGCAGAGTCCACGCATGCTGTATTTTAGACTGTACATACCAGTGCAAGTAGTTGATGGAATAACTCCAGTGATCTTCAATGTGCCAGCAAAAAGAAGAGAAACACATTCCCACATAGAGCCATGGCACTTTCATGCCAGAGATGTCCACATTAATATGCGCAAGAACAGACTGTTCCAGGACAGGCATGTTATTCAAATTCCAACCAGAAAGTGCATATTCCTGTAAGAGAGGAAAAAAAAAAAAACTGAAAATGAAAAATCAGAAATGAAAAGTGCTCAATAGAAATGTCAAGGGAATCTTTCCAGAAAAGTAAAAAATTTTATAATATTTATACTCTAGTGCATACAGTCTCTGATCTTTGCTATCCACTACATGTAACTCATATAACTCAATATTTAATCCTACCTTCTGTCTAGGTTCTATTTAGATATCCTTTATCTCAGATACCTCTGGTTTACCATGTAACTCATATAACTCAACATTTAATCCTACCTTCTGTCTAGGTTCTACTTAGATTCCCTTTATCTCAGATGCCTCTGGTTACTCCAAAGCACATGAGCAATTCTTTATTCTCCAGTCGGTCAGGAAAATGGGTTCCACCTTAATACAACATCAATATTTCTATTTTATACCCAGTAGCATAATATCCTAAAATCTTATTACTATATTGATGGAATGGTGCTAGATACTGTAAAGACAAAATGTAATAATACACATAATCCTGAACTTGTGGCAACAATGAAGACTGACACAATGCAGAAAGTCACTGCCATCACTCCTAACCATTATACAAACACACCTAGAAATACTGGACAAATGATAACAATAACCAGAAAAACTTCACAGCTGAACCCAAAAGAAAAGGGAATTCCCAGTTTCTGGAAACAGAGCGGAAGTAAAGCCAGAATAAAAAAGGAAGCTGTTGCAAGGGTTTTCACAGGGGCTTCTAACTGGAGACTGGCACTGGAGAATGACTTTCCAACATCCATCCCTGAAGCCGTATGAGGCTGTGACTTAAAAAAGTGCTTATCATCTTTACGGAGAGCAGTTCTCAAAATGGGATCCAGAGGATCCACTAAGTCAAACTATTTTCACAGTAATTCTAAGACATCATTTGCCTTTTCCACTTACATTCTTGCAGAAGTATAGTGTGAGTTTTCCAGGGGGAAGATGACATGTGCTATCATAACAGTTTGAATGCAGAAGCAGATATGAGAATCTGCTATTAGAAAGTTGATAACTGAATGTGGACATCAGGAACTCGCAGGGGTGGGGGTAGGGTCATTATTGTGCTTACTGTTTAGAAGTTTCTATAATACAAGCTAAAAATAAAAAACCCTCAAGGTAAGAAGTTAAAGAGCCAATGACAAAGCTAAAGAGAATTTGTGAACTAGAAGACAGGTTTGAGGAAATTATCTATAATGCAGCACAGAAATATACAAACTTTCAAACTGTAATTAAGAGTCACAGAGAGGCGGGCTGGGTGCAGTGGCTCACACCTGTAATCCAAGCACTTTGGGACGGTGAGACAGGTAGATCACCTGAGGTCAGGAGTTTGAGACCAGTCTGGCCAACACAGTGAAACTTTGTCTCTACTAAAAATACAAAAAATTAGCTGGGCATTGTGGCAGGCGCCTATAATCCCAGCTACTGGGGAGGCTGAGACGGGAGTATCACTTGAAACCAGGAGGCAGAGATTGCCGAGATCGCCCCATTGCACTCCAGCCTGAGCAACAAGAGCGAAACTCTGTCTCAAAAAAAAAAAAAGAGTCAGAGAGAAGCCAGGCACGGTGGCTCATGCCTGTAATCTCAGCACTTTGGGAGGTCCAGGCAGGCAGATGACTTCAGCCCAGGAATTTGAGACCAGCCTGGTCAACATGGCGAGACCCCATCTCCACAAAAAATACAAAAATTAGCCAGGCGTGGTGGTGTTCCAGCTACTAGGGAGGCTGAGGTGGGAGGATCCCCTGAGCCCAGGAGACTGAAGCTGTGAGCCAAGATTATGCCACTGCACTCCAGCCTGAAAGACAGAGCGAGACGCTGTCTCACTAAAAAAAAAAAAAGAAAAAAGAAAAAAAAAGTCACAGACGATAGAATAACAAAGTCCAACATAGGTTTAACTAAGAATTCCAATAAGAAATGGCAAAGAGATCCATCCCTAAAGTTCAACAGGCTAACAAAAAACGAAATAAAAGAATCTCAACAGGTTATTGCTCAATGTTTTTTGATTGGTCAGTTGGTTGGCTGAAAAACAGTGAATTTCATTGAAGAGACCAGGTCTACAAACAAAAAGAACACTGGGAGGCCGAGGCTGGTGGATCACTTGAGGTCAGGAGTTCGAAACCAGACTGGCCAACACTGTGAAATCCCATCACTAGTAAAAATACAAAAACCAGCCGAGTATGGTGGTGCACGCCTGTGGCCCCAGCTACTCAGGAGGCTGAGGCAGAAGTGCCTGAACCCAGGAGGTGGAGCATGCAGTTAGTCAAGATTGCCTCACTGCAATCCAGCCTGGGAAACAGAGTGAGACTCCACCTCAAAAAAAAAAAAAGTTACAATACAAGGTAACATATATAAAATTCCAAATACACATAGAAAGAAAAATACAGTTCTTCAGAGGACAACAAAACAGTGATCATGATGGGTTTGGATTGTGATATGGTTTGGATTTGTGTCCCTACCCAAATCTCATGTTGAACTGGAATACCCAATGTTGGAGAAGGCGTCTGGTGGAAGGTGACCGGATCATGGGGGCAGATATCCCCCCCTTGCTGTTCTCACAACAGTGAGTTCTCACGAGATCTGGTTGTTTAAAAGTGTGGAGGCCGGGCGCGGTGGCTCAAGCCTGTAA